GTGTATTATAACGAAAACAATTTAAAATAAACTCTGAGTTTCTTAAACAGCACCTAAACACAGATTCTTAAACTTGAGTTTACAATGCACTGTGTGCTCATGCATTTTGAAAATAGATGCAGCTGCATGAGTGGTATATATTATTAAGCACACATTGCTTACCGAAGCGTTCAGATGTCAAGGATTTTTTGCAACCGACATTCAATACATAGAACAGTGAGTTGATGTGGGAGTATATCACAAAATATTGCTGACAATTAAAATATGTTTGTTGTTGCAATGCAGTGGAGCTTTCGTAAAGGAACATTATTAATTAAAGCTGACGCTCCGCCTTCCGTTGCACTGTAAACAATAACAATTTTAATTTTTACGCTTGTGTGAATGGAAATGCAATTATCGATACAGGTGAAAATCTCTGCTTCTGTCTGTGCAATGTAACCAACCATTAGGGCGGAAGACAGCGCTTGATGGCCATACACCAACACACCAACCGCTAGTACACTCTGCGGTTCACTCAGTGCGCATGCTCGGTTGGACACTTGATAAGTGCACTACTGTAGTGAATGTGTGGGATCAACGTGTTGTTTTGTTGCGACCTCTGAAACTACTGCCATTTGTGGGTTTAAGCAGAGACTATCTTGCAATGAAAACACCAACCCACACACACACACACTTCAAGTGTACACTCAGTTTGGACACGTAATTTGCACTAATTAGACCAATTAGAGCTGCATTTGTGGGGCAGCAAGAAGAAAACAAAACACCAACACACCCACACACACACAAATACACGCTTACTTCAGTTGCGTTGTTGCGTGCCAAACTATTCAAAAGCAAAGTTACATTTTTGGATTTTAGTTGCAAACACAAGTTAAAGAGTTTTACAGTTGAAGTATCAGTGAGTTTTTCGAAATGTCACGTATACGCACTGTCGCCTTTTTTTTAATAAGGGAGCATTTGAAATGGGATTAAGTGTGTAAATAAATTTTGCATACTTCAACAAAGTTAACTGCTGAGATTTGTAGAATTGTCTATTTTTATATATACTTGTTAGAATGTTATTGCACAAACTTTGCATTTATTATAATTATCAGTTGGGAAAAATATTGATAATAAATACTAAAGCGAAGTATACTTCAAGTACTTAATTTTTGTATGTCTACTTCATTGTTTGCTTCGCTCGTCCTCGAATGACAATCGCAACCCTTGAGTGGTAGACTTTCATTTCATTCGTGGATATATAGAGACATATAAAAACACACATACCGACATGTATACATACACATACATAAATAGCCATACATATTTGCATTGCAAAGGACAGCTAAAGTTTGAATTCCCTTGTGATTTCAAGTTGTAGCGCTTATATAACACACACACACACACACCCACACACAATACAAATATGGAAGTATTTTATTGTTTATTTTCTCTATGCGGATGTGTGTTTGGGTTTAGGTTTACTTTTATGTGTAGGCGTTTGCCAGTCAATGTAAGGTGTATTTATGTGTTTGATGTGTGGGCGTGTCTCAGTTTGTGGTCGTCACGTTTTATGCAAACTAAAGAGCGTTTCCCTTTGAGCCGTTTAACCGCGACTAGCGCAATATTACTGTGCAATACAAACTATAAATATTTATAAAACAGTTGTCCGCTTACCAGGGACAGACTTTAAAGTTCATGTAATACATTAGTTTTGGTTTTTGTATTTTTTGCTGCCAAAGTTGCTTGTTATTCCTTTCTCGTGTTTTGTTTTTTTGGTCTTTTTGAGTCTTTTGTCAAGTGATTAGTTTACTTGTGGGTAATTTATTGCAATTTTTTTTGTTGATAAAATTATTAATGATACATTTGTATTATTCTTTTTTCTTTCAGAACAATTGTGACTTGCGTTGTGACAGTAAGGATATAAGGCTGTAAGTTTTCTTCATTCGCTTCTAGTACTCTATTATTAGTTTTCAAAGAAATAATTGTATGTTGTTAAGGGCTATAAGCATAGTATTAAGAATTCTGAATATGTTGATTCATTTTTTAGAAACATACATACATGAATACTTATTATCGACAAACGTTGAAACTAGAATGTATAGATGATACTTCTGACCAGCGTAGATAATATTTTAACGGTTGTTTGTATCACCTAAAACTAATCGAGATAGATATGGACTTATATATAATAAATGATCAGGATGACGAAACGTGTTGAAATCTGGGTGACTCTCCGTCCGTCGGTAGGTCCGTGCAAGCGATAACTGGAGTAAAAATTAAGATATCTCGATAAAAATTGTTACACATGCTCCTTTGTATCCAAGGAGCGTTGGTATTGCAGATGGGCGAAACCGCTATTAAACGAAAACCTATTAAGTGCCATAACTAAGCTCCAAAATAAGATACAAGGCAGTAATTTGGTTTAACGAATTGCATTAGAGAGAGAGATGGTTGAAATTTTTTGTTTTAAGTGGGCGTGTCCTCGCCCTCTAATATGTTTAATGCACACATCTTCTAAACCATTCAAGCTATAATAACCAAATTCACTCAAGACAAATCTTTCTTGCCTCCATCCATACACACCCTGTGAAAATGGCTGAATTCGGATAATAACCCCGCTCACTCAATATAACGCAGTTATTAAAAACTACTAAAAGTGCGTTAAATCTATAAATAAATGCGCCAAAGGCATACAATTTTACACCCCGGTATCAAATTCGGACGTTGGGCGTGGCAACGCACACATTTGCGTTAAAAACCATGTCTCGGGACCTACTTGATTGATTTAACTAAATTCGGCAGGTAATATTATCCTGTTATTCCTACATTACAGTACAAAAATTCCTCTTCCCGACCTCAGATCGGCCGTAAATTATTTTTCCTTTAATTTCTGATATTTTATCTTTCGTTTCCAATGGGTTTCAACCTACTATGAATTTCTTTAATTTTTTACCATTTTCAAAAGCTGCTGCACCGGTCTATCCGAATTTATTCTTCTTTATATCTAACTCAACTGGTAGAAGTTAACTTAATATAATATTTCAATAAAATAGAGAAAAAAAGAAGTTTCGGATGTTTTCTTACTAAATTCAATATCCGATCACATGCTTTATTCCACAAGAAGTTGCTCATTTGTCGGAACCGCCTATATCTGACCACTATATATAGCCGTCACACGAACTGACCGATCAAAATCAAGTTAAAAGTTAAGTTTTTTGCCACTTGATCTAAGGTCAACACAGTTACTACATTTTTCTACCACGATCAATTTGTACCGCAATAAATACTTTTAGAGCTGGAAAGTAAGCATATGTGACGAATACATCTATTAACATAATACTGCACTTCATTCAAGTCTTTTAAGGCTTTATAGCTTTCAGCGCTTTTTTCGTTCATCGTTTTTTGTCTTAAGAGTTGCCAACTGGTTGAAAAATAAAAGTTACTTCGATTTGTAAATGATAGTTAAAAAAAAAATTAATTACACTTACTGATACATATTTACAAATTTTGTTAATTATGCCACAATTTATATAAACCGAGTTGCCACCTTGGCAAAAAATTAAAACTAAACTCAACCGTATATTTTTTACATCATGTGTGAGTATGTAACAGAGACTATATTAAAAGCCAATAGACTGAAAATATTCGCCGCCATTCCAAAAAATTTAAACGTTTAAAAGCTGTGATTAACCTAAATGTGTTAAACTCGAAGTTTGGCAACTTTTTTATTGCTACAACTGTGCAGTATTCTTCAAAAATATGCAGCACTAATTATTTTTTGAATTGCTCTTTAACTTTTGTAGGTGCACATAACGTAATTAGATGACATTCATACGAGTATATGACGTATTTATCAGATTGGTATAAAGCGCTTCATTGCGCAGCTGATCATCAGAGTCATGAACTTTCCGACCTGTTGCTTGTTAAAGACCCATTGTTGAATTAAAGAACTTTTTCACCATGAAAAGTAGTAAACACAAGTATTATACAATCACGTTCATAATTTGTATAACTTTTCCAAAGCTGTGATATTTTGAGAACTTTTCATACGAAATTTTACCAACTTTGCTTGTTGCGAAACTCCAAAAAAAATTTTTCCAGGAAATATTGCGGCCCCAGTTGGAGTGTCTATTTTTAGAAATACGTGTGCCCACATACATATGTATACCATATGATAGACTTTGTGACCATTTAACCACTAACAGCGTATTTTATTGCCACACTTTTATGTAACCTACTGAGCACACTCATAATCCAATAATCACCAGCTGTTGCGGTGGCGCTTATAAACGCATATGCCACAGCAAAAGGCGAAAGAAAGCAAAACAAAAATTAACGGACATAACCTATAAACCTACAAGCAGTAGCAGCAGCAGCAGCAGCAGCAACTAAAAGATAAGCCACAGCAGTTTGCCGCACAAAATTAGCATTTTTATTTTCATCATCACAAACCCACATACACACGTCCATACACACATACATAGTCAAACAGTTGTGGACGTTTCTACGGTTATAACCGTATATAAAGTAGTTAGCGCTTAACTCACTTATTTGCAAATTTTCACCGCAACGTAACTTTAATGCAACATTTGTTTTTGCTTTTGTCTTCGCTTTGGTCGACTAACGTACGCACAACAACAGCAACTCAAGTATTTACTCAGCAATCGGCAAGCGAAATGCAATCGTTAAAGGCTTCACAGTCGCAAGCTGATGAATGTGGATGCTTTATTGAATGGCCTTAAATGTTGCGGTTTCTTGTGGTGACAACAACAACTTGAAAACAAAAAACATGTGGCTTTATAAAGGTTTTAGCGTTGCATATGTGTGTGCAGTTTCGCATACGATTGTCGAACTCTCATGCAGCTGTTGCGTTGCTTCGGTTGCTGTGACGTAAATTCAAATAACGGTACGCTATCCGATGCCATTTGCTACCTTTGGGTATTACGTTACGCTTCAATGGACTACAGCAGCCGTCTTCGATCGGTGTATTTACTTTTCTACGATACGCCCACGAGCTCAAGGCCAAAAAGTTGCATATTAGCCATACTCTTTCTATTTATCCTTCAATTTTTCAATTTTTTGCGTTGCAAGTATGGCGAATTTTCCGTAATCGCTCACATGCAGACACATATGCATTGCTTTTTATGTACATTAGGGGTGTTCTTAAATTAAGAAAACAAATTTTGTGATCAGATACCGTGGACCACAATCACTATATTGTTGCTTTCTATATTTATTTTTTTTTTAGTGAAAAATATAGCATAAAAATTTTAATTACGGTTGAAAATCTTCAAAACAAGTCGCATAAGAGTCAAAGTTTGTATTACCCTGATCATCTCAAAAAAGTATTAATTTTGACTAATTTGATAACAACATTTTTTTTGTGCCACTACTATCTAGCTGTAAAAGTTAATGTTGTTGTTGTAGGAAACATCCCAAAAAATTAATGCTGACGAGCTTACTGTTCAGGGTCGTATATAGATCTGGGTCTTTTGTGATTACTCAAACACGTTTATCGGTTGAACGAGTAAAAAGCTACCTTTCAAGTTGTTATGAATACCTCATTTAGTCGGCTCTGGTGTTATTTATCACAACGTGCATTAATGTTTCAACGCAATTCGTAATAAAAAGCGCGGCTGGTCGAATCCGTCAGATCATGAAATTATTGAAATACATTTTTTTTTATCTGGGTTAGTGAGTTTTCTTATACGAAAATCTGAAGTTAGAAACAAACACATTTCGAGACTCGCTGGAGTAGACAAGCAGCTCTTTCGAGTTCGAAATGCATTGAAACATTGATACAGTGAGTAAACTAAGAAGTTCCCAGCAAAAAATTCCGAGCTGTGATAGACATTTGAAAGCTCAACTCTATTCATCCATATAATTGACTGACACATTACTTACATGGCGATGATGTCTTCTTTTGTTTTTAAAAGAACAAGCGCTACATTCCCCATTAAAAAGTAATCTCCTTTTTCTTTAAAACGGTAAAGTTTTGCGTGGGTCGGAAGCTCACGGCGTATTTGCACACTCGTCCCTCTTAGCCGTAAGGTAAGAACTCACAAGGGTGTCATATATCGCACCGCAAAAAAGAGTTGCTCATGTTGTCCAGAGTGCTTGTCATTAGAAAAATTTGTCGGGATGGAGCTTAGAAAGCCATAATGCTCTATTTTGGTATGAGTTTTCCTAAAATTTGGGTTTAAGTACCCCCTTAATGGGCATCACATTCTTTTCATCTCATGGCCTACATTGTCAGCCTCATTATCATGCATATACATATGTTTATAGAAAAACTTTCCTTGTTGATCTGCCTGCAATTTGTTACAAACATATAAATGCGCAATCATTTGATTTTTCTACACGCCCCAGCTATTCACACACCACCGTTACGTACAAAAATTTGTTGGTATATACATAAATACACAGTAAATAAGTACATAGTCTTCATTTTTCTTACAAATTAATAATGTGCATGTTGTTCATACGCACTGCTGCCCATTTCGTTGTTAAACCGTACAGACCCTCCCACATGACCTAGAAATTTTAATTAAATTCGCTTATTGTGCATTTATGTTAATATGCGCACTTTGTAAATTATGTAATGAAAATTCAAAGTTGTTATAAGAAAGTTAATATGATGCATAAGCGAGTTGTATTAAATGCTTAAACAGGCTTAAAAAATCAAAACAAAACAAAATAAATAAATTAAAAAAAGGTTGTCAGATGTTCGTATTTAAATATAATATATAAAAATACCGTGATATCTGAATCAAAACAATATCCAATAATATTAATTAAAAATAGTTTTTTTTTTGCAGTGTTGCCATCTATATTTAAATACAAGTTGCTTAAAAATAAAAATGTTTTACATACATATATTTAAAGTAAGGAACAAACCTTTTTTATATTTTCAAATGCCAAAATTGTG